CCGACACCCGTATCTGTACGGACACAAAGCCCGAGTTCATCAGCACCCGTAACAGTCGCTACCAAACGCTAGACTGTACGGCACGTCTCTGTACGGACAGCCCAGACAATGGCCAGGGATGGGCGCCAACGTACCAGCCCTTTAATAACCCTATATTTGAGTGGAACTGCCAGTTGGGACATATCCAGGCCTCGAACGGCACCTGCGATTACGATCGCCACATGTGTTGGCACTCTGTGGACATTGATTTGCATTATTTTCAGCACAGAATGCGCGACAATGACATACAAGAGCTGCGGGTGTCGTGCGCTGTGAGCGATGCCTTTCTCACCCCCGATGGCAGCCACGAAGATCTACTACTGGCCACTGGTGTCGGCTTTACTTATATCAAGAGTTTTAAGGGTTTGTATAAAGTTTTTGTTATCTTATATTTTTCATATGAGAGAGAGAGAGAGAGAGAGAGAGAGAGAATTAGTAGCACCGGGTAGACAGATATACCCAATTAGGCCACAGTCTGGCCATTCTTATACTCCAAACCCAACTGATCATTTTCAACGAGGTTATACTTATCATCCTTGGTACATTTCTTAGGCTTCAAGTCGGATAAGACAAGTTTGGGCGCCGGGAACCTAATACTTCCACCCATACCACCTCCACCCGAGCCATAACTGCTCAGGGCTGCCGCGCGCCTGGCCAGCGCTCGCCGGTGGCAAAGCATCATGGTGGCAATTATTAGCAACAACAGGGGCAACACTATGGCCAAGCATGCGATCAAATACGCGGCCCATCGTAACCAAAAGTAGCCACGGCTATTGACGCCCCCATCCAGTGGCTGATACTCGTCGGTGAATATCCACCATATAATGGCCGGAGTGCGGGACTGACTGTCGTTATCCAGTGCCGTGTCCTCCGCCGAGCGCTGGATAGGCTGACAGCGGCCGGCAATGTCGGCCGTATCGGCGCCGCACCGGCACCGGGATATGCCGTCCCCGTCGACTGATGGTTGGCATACGGCTGAGGGATCGGTGGCCGAGCACTGGGCGTCGTATAGACACGACTCGTTGAGTAGTAGCGGCGGAGCGCACGACCACTCCTGGTATTGGTTGTCCAGCACTCGGACAAACGCTACGCCCATAGCGTAGTCCATACGGCACTGGCAGTAGGTCTGCGCTGTCGACTGGTCGGCGCCCAACAGGCAGAACATGTTGTCCCGACAGTCGGTGTCCGTCGAGCACTGTTCGTCCAGTCCTTTGCCTGTGATTGTTATAAGTTATATAACTTTTAATTAGTTTTTATAGTGTTTAGTACACTATAACTTATAAAACCTATTGACATAACAGTCTGTGTCATAGAATTAATGTATAGTTAATTATTTCCTAACTTTCTCTCTCTCTCTCTCTCTCTCTCTCATGAAAAATACAAGACAACAAAAACTTTATACAAACCCTCAAAACTCTTGATATAAGTAAAGCCGACACCAGTGGCCAGTAGTAGATCTTCGTGGCTGCCATCGGGTGTGAGAAAGGCATCGCTCACAGCGCACGACACTCGCAGCTCCTGGATGTCATTGTCGCGCATTCTGTGCTGAAAATAATGCAAATCAATGTCCACAGAGTGCCAACACATGTGACGGTCGTAATCGCAGGTGCCGTTCGAGGCCTGGATGTGTCCCAACTGGCAGTTCCACTCGAATACTGGGTTATTGAAGGGCTGGTACGTCGGCGCCCATCCCTGGCCATTGTCTGGGCTGTCCGTACAGAGACGTGCCGTACAGTCTAGCGTTTGGTAGCGACTGTTACGGGTGCTGATGAACTCGGGCTTTGTGTCCGTACAGATACGGGTGTCGG